AAATCACAGTCGGGAGGCCACAGGAAGAGAAGGGCTGAGCTCCAGGCTGTGAGTTTCCCGGGGAAAGTAACCGCTCGCAAGCTCTAGCAGGGCTACCCAAGGAGGCGTTACAGCGGGTGGTGCGGTTCACTGGGCACCAGCCTGCACGGTGGCCGCAGCCTGGAGCTTCGCTTCACTGTGGGCCCTGCTCTCCGGCAGCCTCACTCCCTGACCAGGCTTCGCCATTTGGTGACTTTCTACTGCTGGATGTTCCGAATTCACTGACTGCCTCATGCCTCCACCGAGTCCTCTCTAGCGAACGATTTGCTTAGGGAAGCTGACACGTGACATCAGGCTTTGCAGGCAGTGTCACCGAGGCTGTGCGTGTCTGCGTCACCCTCTCAGGCACCCTAAGGGAATGCACTGTGAAATGAACACTCTTTCCACGCCTGGGCAATGAGTGATGTCAGCCCATCTCCTGATGGACGTCAGGCATCACACGACAGGCCAGGAGGACACGTACACACACACACACCCCAACCCTGGAGTGACACCTACTACATGCCACCCTGTCACCTCCAAGTCTGAGCATCCGAACACCTTTATGATGGGTGCCTCTTTTCATCAATAATAAACCATCTGACACCTGTAAGGCTTTCCGGCTTAGTGTCCTTTTGCGCACATAAGCTCTTTATGTAGCTGAGACTCTGAGCTGGCAATAAACTTAAAAAAAAATCAGTCCTTAAAATATCCAGAAGCCCACAAGAAGCCACTCCTGGACAGTTACGGCCACCGGCACAACCCGCACCCAGCAGCTCTGAGCCCAGGGAGGGGCCTCAAAGCTGCAGGGAATGTGTCCCCTCTGTGAGGACATGTGTGAATGAAACAAATCAAATATCTGGAGTTTTCACTTACATTTATTTCACAAGTTTCTCAAGTACTAAGCAATACTGAGAAGTAATTGCAAAGTACTCTTTAATCATAAACATTAAACAAGTCTGCTCAAAACCCCCCAAACCATATGAATGTCCCTATGGAAAGAACGGCAAGACAAAAAAATAACAAAAACAAAACAAGTAACCTTTTGAAGGTCAGGCAGAAAGGTACTTAGTGATCCAAATTCAGACGAAAAACAGTTCTTTCAGCAGATGAACAAAAAATTTCCTCTGCAAGTGGCCCATTCTGAGATACTCGCACTGCCAGACACACCTCGTAAAGACAACCACGTAGGGAACGAGACCTACTGGAAAACCGGAGCTGGCCACCAGAGCCCGGTCTGACCCCAACACAGGACTCCGGCTGTGCGGCCCTACCAAAGCGGCGGCCAAGCCTGGCGCCTCTTTCTCCATCACACAAAGGAATGTCCCTCACCACCCATACCCCTCAGGAATGTTCTAAAGACCAAAAAAAAAAAAAAAAAAAAAGGTAAACAGGCCTTAGAACATATCCCCTATGAGCACTAGTCATCACTATTATTAGCTCGAAGATGACCGGGCAGACAGGACTACAGAGTATCCGGGTGGGGAGGGGGGAGCAGGAGCTTAGAGATGAGATGGTGCAGTTCCTAATCCGGGTCCGGGCCTCTGAAGCTGTCCGCCCGTCTGCTTTCTGGGAAGAAGTCCACAGTCGTTATCAGATTCTCAAAAGGTTAAGAACCTTCAAGTCCCTTATTTTACAAATATGAAAACTGAGAGCGAAGAGAATGTGATTTTCTCAGGCCTCAGGGTTAGTCAGGGAACAGCCAGACGGAGCCCAGGGCTGCCTCCCACTCCCCACCCCCCCGGCCCACATTCGGGGAGGGGAGCCGCGAGGACCTCCACGGCCAGTGCGCTCCGCAGGCCACTGCAGACGTGGCTTCTCCATTACAGCAAAGTGTCTTTGTTTTTAAAGTTATGCTGGATGTATTAAAAGAATATACTGCTCTGCATTCCATGAAAAATTAATAATCTTATAATAAAAAATTTAGAGCCCTGGCTGGCGTAGCTCAGTGGATTGAGCACGGGCTGCGAACCAAAGGGTCGTGGGTTTGATTCCCAGTCAGGGCACATGCCTGGGTTGGGGGCCAGGTCCCCAGTGGGGGCCACATGAGAGGCAACCACACATTGATGTTTCTCTCTCTCTTTCTCCCTCCCTTCCCCTCTCTAGAAATAAATAAATAAATAAAATCTTTTAAAAAATTTAGAGAATACAGCCATTTCTAGATTAACAAAACAATTGCAATAGTTTGATTTATATCTTTCCACTTATTTTCTTTCTAATCATTTTGACACAGTTAAGATTTATTATTTACAGTCCTGGCTGGTGTGACTCAGTGGATTGAGCACTGGCCTGTGAACAGAAAGGTTTCCGGTTTGATTCCCAGTCGGGGCACATGCCTGGGTTGTAGGCAGGGTCCCCGGTTGGGGGCAAGTGAGAGACAACTGCTCAATCTTTCTCTCGAACATTGCTATTTCTCTCCTTTTCATTCTCCCTCCTTTCCCCTCTAAAAATAAATAAATAAAATCTAAAAAAAAGAAATACAATAAAATTTATTATCTTTTTTAGATAAATGTATAAATAATAAATCTCTAAGATTTTATGTATTTTTTTTTTTAGAGAGGGCAAAGGAGGGAGAAACGAAGGGAGAGAAACACAGATGTGCACGACAGACATCGACCTGTTGCCTCCCCGACCCCCCCGACCGGGGACCTGGCCTGAAACCCTGGGGACCTGGGGACAGGCACGTGCCGTGACCAGGGATCGAACCGGCAACCTTCTGGTTCACAGGCTGGCGCTCAATCCACTGTGCCACACCAGCCGGGGCCATTTTATTTTTCAATTACAGATGGCGTTCAATATTATTTTATATTAGCTTCAGGTTATAGCAAATTTCTACTCTTATTTTCCTTCTTAAGGCTTCTAGCTGAGGTTTTTGCTAGTTGAGTCTAGATTTATATATTTCTATATTCTCATTTGTCTAGTTCAGTAACTGGGGACAGGAAACAGATGATTTTTTAATACTAAAATTTTTTTAAATTAAGTTTATATAATATATCAAGTATATTTTAATTTAAAATAATGATTTTATTCTAGGAAACAAAAAAAAGACTAAATGCACTCTCTGTTTTATTAAGCAGGCAGATAAATGTGCAATCATGGAAATTAATATGTCATTACATAATTAAAGAAAAGAGATTTTTGTTGGTGTTCTTTGTGTTTTTAACCAAAATACCAATATTTGTGCTCTGAGATGGCAGTCGTCCCTCAAATAGTCAGTCACCTTTGGAAGTACAGGGATGCCAAGAATGTCGAACTACATGGAACACTTCAAGACTCCTTTGTAGACTGTCTTCAATCAGCAGGCAGGCCTAGGTATCTGAATACTAAGGAATCCTTTAGTACTGATACTGAACACTAAGGAATTCCTACACAGCCACCCCAGGGACCACCCCTGGGAGCAATCAGGATGATGCTTTCAGGTGTGCAAAGGGTCACTGCCAGGGCCAGAAAGAAAGGCCTACCTGTGGAATGCAAACTGATGTCATAACTAAGGCATTACTGCTCCAGGTACACAGCCGTAGTTCCAAACAATCTAACTGGAAAAAAACTGAACCAGCACTATCACTCATGTGAAGGTGGTCATTACCCTTGTAATCTACAGGGTGGCTGCCACTGAGCCACTATTACAATCTGATGGCAGATAAGGCAGGCCCAAGTCAGCTGGGAGGTGCAGGTGAGGGTGGCCAGAGAGGGCTTGGTAAATGCTAGCAGGATCTCTAAACACAAGGAGCCATTATTATTTATTTATTATTATTATGGAATCTATGCAATCTTCTGATATTCCATAATATCTTGCAACAACAGATGACCCCATCAGAAGCAGGAAGCCTGAACATCATGCTCCTAACTCCATCTGTACGGACTTTGAAGTGAATAGAGAAGAAACAAAAAGATTAAGGACAAAGGAACCTCAGCTTCTGCCCAGAAATTGGCCTGGCCACCAGAGATCTGGACTTGGTTGGTGTCCAGGACTAGGGAAAGTCACCTTGATTTCCCAGAGGCAGACTATGTTCAAAACCCACACATTGTTTATATATATATGCATGCTTTTAGGTTATTTCAATATTATGACCTCTTATACGTTTGAGACTAAAAGTAATAAAGTTCCACTTCCCGAACAGCATGAGCTAAGAATGCCATTTCCATTCAAATGAGTTTTTATTCTTCTCCCAAAAAGTGAATAGTGTGCATATCTAATCATTGATCTACTCGTCTGTGTTATGTTACTTTCCCAAGTAATAAATATCATCGGCCTAATGGCCACTTTCTTAAAGCTTCAAGACAATTGTCACAAGAAAAAAACACCACGGGAAAGTTTCTGATGCCGTGTGGCCTCATATCTCAACTAGAACGACCTCACCAAGGAGGTTGCCAAACTCTAACATTAAGTTTAAAGGTACAGAGGTAAGAGTCTCCCTGTGAATCCAGAGCAACCGAGTTGCACTGCCCGCCCCCACCCCTCCCTTCAGTACCCTCTAAATAAGGAGGCTGCAGGCAGGCTTGTGACCAAGTGGGGTAAGAATGTTTGGGGCAAGAATGGGAGGGCTGGCATTCAGGGCTCCCACCCCTCAGTCCTAGGAGGGTCAGAACGAAGCTTCAGCCTATTGGGACGACTGCAAAGGGAGAAACCTAAGAGGACGGGTAGAAGGTGTGAGCTCACCATCTGCAGCTTTAAATTCTTGGAGCTGACCTCTCTATTTTCATCAGAATAGACAGGGAGTGTTTGGGAAATAGTGTAATGAGTAGCCCTGGAGATTGTAAGCAGCCTACCCTCCTTCACCACAAACACACAGGATGGCTGGGGTACCCAAAGGAAGACAAGATCCAGGAGTGGAACACACCACCCCACCCGAAGGCTCCCTTCCCTCTGCCACGCAGCCAGCAGCATCATCCTCAAAGACTGCCACTGGGTGGGTCCCAGGGCCACAGCCCAGCCCGCTTCCCTGACCAATTGTGTCTGAAAAGATATCCGAGTGTCCGACCTTTTGACGTCTCTGGGCCGCACTGGAAGAAGAGTTGTCTTGGGCCACACATTAAATTCACAAACACTAACGAGAACTGATGAGCCAGGAAAAAAAAAAAAAAAGGTTTAAGTAAATCCACGATTTTGCCTTGGGTCGCACGCAGCCCGCGGCTCCGGGCTGGACACCCCGCGGGGGAAGGGGGCAAAAACCCCATGAACCACGGAAATCAAGCGGCAGAAATCGCACATTCTGCCATCCCGGACCTCTCTGGATCCCAGGCAGGCTCGAAACCCCAGAGGGGGAGGGAGGACGTCACTGTAAATCAGTGACGGCCTAGGAAAACTCAGAAAAGGGGCAAACGGGCAAACCGCCCCAGGCTCTCCTGCCGGTCCCCAAGGCCCTAGGACCGGCTCACGGGGAAGGGCTCTGCGCCCATACAGAGCCAGGAGAGAGGCAAGGGGAAGGAAGGAAACGGAGGGCGGTCATCAAAGCGCCCCCAAAGAGCGCATCCGCCTGTGTGTCCGGCCCGCTCTCTCCGCCCCTCCCTCCAGGCCACCCTTAGACCGAGCCGAGCCCTGTAACTGGCGTTCCCAGCCACACCTCTCCGCCGGCGCGTCTCCCCGGCCGCCCGCGCCTCCACCAGGGGACCTCCGCGCCCCTGGGCTTCCCTCCCAACCGTGGCCCCCGCTCCTCCCAACGTCGTTCCTGGAGGCGCCCGCGTCCCCTCCGGCCGCATCTCTTTGACCCCCGCGGGCCCTGCTCCGGCACTTCTCGCTCCGGTGAGGCCCCGCCTCGCGCCCCACCGGTTCCCACTTTGCCTCAAGCCCCCCCCCCCCACGATCCTCCGGACCCCCAGCCCCAGGTGTTTTCTGCGGCGCCCCCCTCGGCGCCCGCTCCGTCCCGAACACACCCCCTCCCACGGCAACAGGAAGTTTGCGCGCTGGCAGAGTGGCCGCGGAGGCTGCCCGCGGCGCGGGGCGCGGCGGCCTGACAGCGCGAGGGCCGCGCCGCCGACCGTAGCCCCTGAGTCCGCCCGAGCCTCCCCAACCGCCGACGCGCGCCCCTCACCTCGACCGCCGCTCGCCTCCGGACCCGCCGCGCACCCCGCTCCGGCAGCGACCGTGTCTCCGGCTCCTGCTCCGTCTCCGGCCCTCGCTCCGGCTGCGCTTACCGGCCCTGCCCTGACTCGCCGCAGCCACTTCTGCCGCCAGCGCCGAGCGCCCCGCCTTCTCCGCGCCCGCTGTGCTCGTTCTATTGGCTGCTGGGATCCGGGCCCCACCCCATATCCCTTTCTGAGCATCTGATTGGATTAAGGTTGAGAAGCGGCTCACGCCCCCAGCGCAAAAGGGACCTGCCTAGACACCATTGGCGGCTTCTTCTGTCAATCAAAGCGTCTGTGCCTACTTAAGTGGCTGAGAGGATTACTGGGGTCACTCTCCCCGAATGACTTTGAGGTTGTGGTTCTCGGAGTTCGCTCAGCTCGCGGAACCATGGAGGTAGAGGTTTACGGTTCTGCGGACAACCAGAGGTGGGGAACGTGGCACGACAGCACCGTATCTGCCTAGGACTTTAGGAAAGACTTTCTGAAAGTTTCCTAAGATACTCAGGAAGCCAATGTCATCAGGGCTTCCTCACACTGACGCACTGGACCAGCTTAGTTTGCATAGAGCAGAGGTGGGAGGGATGGTGGTGGTGGTGTGCCATACAAAGCCCAAGGGAGGGTTTGGGACACTGACACCAGGTCACTTTTGGGGGAGTGGCCCAGAATACAGAGAGTAAACAGCAGAGCCAGGATAAAAATGCTAAAAACATGAAAAGAAAAAGCCAGATACAAAATCCACAATGGTGAGAACTCTAAAACTGCTACTCCTATGCCTGTGGGTGGGGACTGGAAGAGAAGCCACAAGAAAGAGTGGTTGTTCCCTTTCTAAACTATTCCGTTGCATTGTGCTTGTGCTAATAACTGAGAAAGAAAGGGGGGGGGGAGTCACCACCACGCTGTGCCAAGACAAGTCAATGCCAAGAAGTCCATGGCGTTCTCCAGGACTCAGCCCACTGGGACCAGTCTTCCGCCCAAAACACCTCTGGAGAATGTGTGGCAAACCCAGGCATCAGCCAGGGTCTCCTGGGCCCCTAAGGTCTGGGCAAGGTCCATGTACACTGTTATTCCACGCCTTGTGAAGATCCAGAGTCCTCCCCGAGGTGTCTGAACAAGTGTCTGTCACCTCCGCCTCCAGTCTCCTGCTCTTCCCCATGGTCCTCAGCATCATCGCCTTCTCCCTCTACCTATACCTCACACAAATCCCCCTTCATACCTAGTACTGCAAGGCTAGTAGGGGTCTCTGTGGCCTGGGTGCAGTTAAGAGGCATCGAGCCTGGCACTGCCCAGCAACACAAAACACCTCCCAAGCCCTTCTGGCCTCTTGGCCCAAGAGGTCACTACCTGTCATATGACCTTCTTTCCTCTTCCCTTACTTTCAGGACAACACCAGAGCTCCTCTCGCTTGCACACAGCAGTTGGACACTGGTGCTGAACTCTCTGGATCTCACCTTCTGTCCCAGCAGCTATCAGGGTATTTTTCCAAAGAGAGCTCCCCTTTGCCAGCTATGAACCAGCTTTGGTCCCCACAAATACTTCATGACATTACATCCAGCCTCCTTCAATCATATTCAAAGGAGCCTGGAGCCCAGTCCTGTCTCCTCCCCTTCCCCACAGAGGGGCCTTGCATGAGTCTCTGCAGCTCTCTGGGTCCCTATCTGTGCCACGTGGTTGTGGTGAGGAGTCCACGGGGCAAAGCGGGTGGAAGTGTGGAGGGCAGCTCTGGGCGCGCAGGTGGGTGCTCCGTATCTGAGTGGTCAACATGTGGTCACACTTTGTCAACTGCCACTTTGCTCCCTCTCTCCCACAAAATGTGCCCATTGCCCAGGTCCAGAGTCAGGGCTGATTGGGTTAGTCTTTTAGTAGCCACTTCCCGCTAAGCAGCCAGGATAAACAGACAGCCCAGGAGTTAAACCACACTTTCACTGAGACAAAACACTCTCAAAAGTAATAATAATAATAATAACAATAATAATAATAAAAACATCCAGATATAGTTGTGTTGCTGGTAAAATATTCTTGTACGTTGGCATACATGCTTCTTTCAAGGAAAAATGTTAAAGTTTGCTACAGGCATTCACTCAATAGTTAATTGCAAATGTAAGGTGGGGGGCTGGGCAGGGGGATTCAGGGAGGGATGCACCTGGGTCCTGCCAATGACCCTGGGAAGACTCTGCAGGACGTGGTATCTAGAAGAGTCGTGAGAGAGACCTCCCACTGAGGCGTGGCCATGGTCCATGGGAGGAGAAACCCTCCATCCAGCAGAATGGCAACAGTATTGAAGGCAGTGACATCTAACTGAGCCCGGTTGGACGGAAGTCAGGAGAGAACAAAGTCCCAGAGGCAAGAAATCCTGCTCCCCAAGGAGGGAGGAAGGTTCTGCTTGGCCAGAGCATTGCAGACACGAGAGGCGAGGGCACATGCTGTGGGGAAGGCAGCTGAGCAGCAAGTAGGTAGGTGGTGCTAGCAAGTTGTTTGGCCACTCAAGTCTCAGTTCACCTGTAAAATGGGGATGATCATAGAATCTGCTACTTAGGGCAAGTGCGAGGATTCTTGAGGTCACACCGAGGCGCTCTTAGGAGGCAGCAGGCACAGTCCGTGGTGGCTGAGTGTGTTCGAGGGCTCATACACATTTTGTAAAAGTGCTCTTTTTAAAAATAGGTCATTAGCCCTAGCTAGTGTGGCTCAGTGGATTGAAAGCTGGTCTGTGAACCCAAGGGTCACTGATTCAATTCCCAGGTAGGGCACAACCACACATTGATGTTTCTCTCCCTCTCTTTCTCCCTCCCTTCCCCTCACTCTAAACATTATTTTATAATAAATAAAATCTTTAAAAATTAATAAGTAAAATAGAAATGGGTGATTAGCTCTGACTGGTGTGGCTCGTTGGTTGAGTGTTGTCCTGCAGACTAAAAGGTTGCCAGTTCATTTCCCGGTCAGGACATGTACCTGGTTTGTGGGTTTGGTCCCTGGTCAGGGTGCATTCAAAAGGCAACTGATTGATGTTTCTCGCTCACATCAATGTTTTTTCTCTCTCTTTCTCCCTCCTTTCCCATCTCTCTAAATAAAAAATAAAGTTTAAAAATAAATAAAAATTAAAAATTGTGATTTAAAAAAGACCCAAGAATATGCGCTGTGCATTTGGAGACACCAAAGTGTTAACCACTGAGGCCAGAGACACACATTTGTAGATATACCTTGGAATGAAGCTCCCCTTGCCAAGTGGCGTAAAGATCTGAATTCCTCGTAAATGTGTCATTGATTAGGAAGCAATTACCCCAGCCTTCCTTGCTTTGTTCTGTTTTGTTCTGTTCCGGCCTGCGCACGTCTGCTCACATAAAATTGTACCAGCAAGTACACGGCTCCACTCACACGCCGCACCGTGCCTCGTCCCACTCAGTAGCCCTGGAGCCTGCTCTTGCTCAAAGTCGGCGGGGTATGTTCACAGCATTCGGACATTTCCCAAAGCGGGCATTTCCAGGACACTGTTTTCCACAAGTTTCTCGATTGGTTCTTACACATCACATTTTGAAAGCACTGTTTCCGACAGATACTTCTAACTTTTACTAAGTGGAAAAAAGCTCCTTCTGAGGGGTTAGGGTTACAGTGTTGCCATTGGTGCCCAAGTGGAACGAGTGTCAATGACAAAACTGATACATAAAGTGAGTGTTTGAAACTTTGAATGAAGACCAACAATGCGCAGGTTTTATTCGCTACATTGTAAAGTATTTTCTGCCATGAGGTGAAGATGGAAACTTCCTGGGAACCCCCTCCTTGGTCCCTGAAACCCAAGAGGATGAGGAGGTCCTGGAAGCCAGGAGAGATTCCAGTCTGAATGCAGTCTCATCTTACGCTTTGTCGGCTCCTGGATCAGATGCACGAAGATCATCCTGTGATTGTAGAACAAGACATTTGTTATCATGAGCAACTATTTCTGGGAATCCAGATTTCCTTGCTACATTAAATACTGAAGGATGATTTTTGTTTTAAAAAACTACAACAGTCTCAAAATGTACATTCATCAAAACAGTGACTTTGCTCTTATTGGCTCAATTTATAACAAAGGAATGTTAATAAGCTTGAACTTAGAAGTTATATACCAATATTTACATTATAAAATAAACATACACCAGTAAAACGCTGCTATTGATTGCATGTAAGTTGTCATGACAAGTAGGAAGCCATCAAGGGCTGCTCTTGGCCTCCTGTCCAGCTGTTCCCCAAGGTCCTGCTGACCGAGAGGGACCTTGTCCCTCTGTGTATCTGTGCCTGAGTTGTTGAGTCACCATCTGTGTGACATTGGACAGAGACTCTGGCTTAGAGGACACGCATGGCTCCCTGGGGGTCGAGAGGGTAAGATGGCCCTGGGCTCCCTCCTGAGTCAGGGCCAGGTGAAGGTCAGACTTCCACAGACACCCCCACTCTCTGGTTAAATGTTTAACTCCGTCCTGGTCACTTCCTGGTGTCAGAAAGGAGAAGGAGGGGCTGGGCAACACAGACCCAGTCTTATCTTTTGTTAAAAAGGCTTTTGTGTCCAACAATTAGGGAAGATTAGCCTCACTCATTCAGCGTACTTTTTTTGTTTTTGCTTTGTTTCTGGTTTTATTTTAATAGACTTTCTCTTTTAGAGCAGTTTCAGGTTTATAGCTTTGGGCAAGTCACCTCATTTCTTGGCCTTAGTGTTCTTGTCCTAGTCTAGACAGGGAAATGATGGCCTGCCACTCCTTAGGGGGCGGGGGGGGGGCAGGGAAGAAAATAAGTGTGGTGGTGGATGAAATCGTTTCCACAGCGCCTGGCGCACAGTAGGTGCTCACTCCATTGATGCCAGCATGGCCTTTGCCATCGTGCACGTGCTCACCTGAGCCACCTCTCGGGCTGTGAAAGGGAGAGTGAGCAGGTGCCATGCTTGGCAGGCCCCGGTGGACATGGTTGCTGCCACTCCTTCTGGACTCCTTGCCCCAAGAGGGGCAGAGCCAAGGGCGCTACTCCAGAGACGATGAGTTTCAGGGGAGGCAGACTTTCCAGCTCAGCTCAACACCCAGCTCTCTGGCGTTATCACCCACGGAGGAACGTGGGCACCATCTCTCTGCCTCACAGGCCGCCCCACCCGG